TTTAAATTGCCGCGACGTCCTGCACTACCGCCCCGCGGTTGATATAGCAATCGTATGACCGGACACGCTTTTCCGGCCGGCCGGGCGTTAGCGGGCTTTCCGGTGCTTCATCATGCGCGGCCACGCGCAAGCGGGTGCGCAGCTGGGCAGGTGCGATGTACACACAACACTCTAATTTCTTTTCTGTTTTTACAATTTTCTTTTTCAAATGAATACTGAACCCGTAAAATTGGCGCGATGAGGTACGCGCGTTGCGGGACCACGGACCACGACGTTCTGTGTGCTTATGCGCAGACATATACCCACCTACGACAAAACGGGGCCGACCCGTAGTGTCCCGTATACGTAAGTGGTTGTGTGTTTGGGACAGACAAGTGTCTGTGCCGTCGCATCCGAAATGGTTCGCGTTCATCAAAGCTCATCATCACACACGGCAAAATGCCCACGGGGGGGTCACCAACTGCGCTGTGACGTTTCATAATACGCCACACAACAATTTTATGCCTTTCCCTTTTTCTTTCTTTCGAGTTAAAAATAAAAACAGTTGTTATTTACTCACCAGAGACGGCCAGCAGCAGCAGCAGCAGCAGAAACAGCAGCGGCACCTCCGCGCCGCCCTCGCCCCGCATGGCCGCCGCCCGCCTGCAACGACACAAACGCAATAGGCAATAGGCACACCTCAATCAGAGCAGCGCAGGGTCGTTATCGGTTGTTATGTACAGCGATATGCAATTAGACGCCTTCGCGGGATGAAAGCCCCTGGCGTGGAGCGAAATGAGAGTGAATCCGGAACGAGTCGACGAAACGGAGGGGGGCCTACGATGGAGTTAGGGTGAGAGTGTGCCAGAGTGAGGGGGGGGGGAGATCATGACTAGAACTTAACCTTACAGGTGAACGTACAGGGAATATCATGTCGTCATTGAATTTCAAGTTTTCTTCCAATCATAAACTGTCGAGTGAACTACGCAGCTCTATACCAACCCCAATCCCGGGAAACATTTTAAAACAATCAGGATCCCCGGCGAGAACCAACCACGACCCCCGCCGCGGAGGAGGCGCTCCAGGCTCCAGCCACCGCCGCCAGGTTGCGACGACTGCTTTCCTGATTGCAATTAGCTCAAATTTCCCGCCCGTTGAGGGAATTCCTCTGGCAAACAGCGGACTGGTTGTTGTTTGCGACTCGCTCCCCCCCCCTCCAGCCCCGGTGTACGGTGGAGTCAGCGGCACAGCATGTGGTTTTAATGCTTTTGTGTTGTTTCGGTCTATCGGGCGTGAAGTCGCGATTCGGACCAATAGCAACACCACCGGGGGTGAATACTGTGTGCGCGTCGTGTGGTGTGTATTTGTGTGTGTGTGTGTGTGAGAGAGAGAGAGGG